TCGTTTTGTTTTTTAAGACAGGGTCTCACTATGTAGTTGAGACTGCCCTGGATCTCACTATGTAGCCCAGGCTGGTCTCGAACTCACAGCGATGCTCCTGCCTCAGCCTCCCGAGTGCTGGGATTACAGGCGTGCACCACCACACCCGGCAATATATGTTCTTTATACACATTTTGCAGGTTTGGAAGAGGGGTACTGACTGGCCCAGTGTCACCTAGCTGGCTAGTGGAATAGCTGATATTTGAATGCAGGCTTATTCTATCTTTATAGCATTTGCTTGTGTTTACAGAGGGGGGAAAATTGAAATTGATTTATTAGTTGCATTTGCTTGTGTTTACAGAGGGGGGAAAATTGAAATTAATTTATTAGTTAACAACATAGGATTCTCTTCAGGAAAAAAAATTACCATTGTTCTGGTTCAGCCTCAGTACAGCCTCCAGGTTCAAACCTGTGGCAGGACAGGTTTCAGAGGTTTACCCATTTCTATGTGACAAGGATTCAGAGCCTGGGTCTGCAAAAAAAGATTTGGTCGGGGGCAGATTTTTAAAATCATATATTCTAGTCAGATGAAAATAGAACTTGGAGCAGTTTACGGAACTTTCTGGATAAGGATGAATTTAGCTAATGTCATCATTCATATATTCTCAGTGGTTCCCTGAAGATTTCCTCTCCCTACAACTTTTTTTTTAAAGAAAAAGATAAGCTTGTGAGACACTCATCATAGACAAGTGCATTTATTTTGCGATTTATGGTATTCAAAAACTACTTCTATGTCTCCAAGAACTTCTCTGGGGGACTTTGCAAAAATATTGTATTAATTCAGTATTTTCAAGGGCTTGTGAAGTTTTGTGGCGGAAACCTGCAGAGGTTACATTGTGAAAAAAATTGATTAATGCAGCTTACTAGTTTTCCCCTTATGCAACATTTCCTTTTGCAATGAATTTCAAAAGTGTATGCCAAGTCCATTAATATATGTCTGTTTGTGCCATAATACATGGAAGCTTAATTTTGAGCCTGGCTTATTTACTGTTTAGTACAAATTTAGAAAGGGCAAAATGTTGCTAAGAAAATGTAGATGGTTTTGGCATTCATCATTTTTTTTCAACAAAAATGTTTTGTTCTCCCACAATACACAAGGAATTTACTACATGCCACCTGGCATGTCAAGATAATTGTAGAGTCTAGAAGTCGTCACCAAACATAAATTAAAATTACTTAAAATTTTCTTCCTCTGGTCAAATTTCTGAACATGTTTACACAAGGGAAGTATAGAAGCACATACAGTTCTAAACTGGCTATTCGAGTTGTGTTCATTATTCACAGTCCAGAGACCACTAAAAGGAACAAAATTTTTTTTTGAAAGAGTGACTTTATCTTCCATATAAGACTAGGCTGTGTCCCCCAGTTTGAGTTTTTGGTGTACAGGATGTTTTCCTGATTTTAAAACTTAGATAAAAACTGACCTAGAAGATCTCTAACTAGAAAGCGTTACAGGTATGAAAGAGAAGAATGTCCAGAAGACTCTGGGGTTGAGTTTGTATCTTTTCTCTTTGCCTACCCACTACACCTGACGCCCTTCTCTTTTCAGACCAGGCTCCCAACATGGAGGTCCTGCTGGCTCTGTCTGCCACGTTGTCTCCTTTCCCCTTTCCTGGAATGTGCATGTCTAGAGCTGAGCAAGTTCAGTTTTTTTTTTAAAAGAAGCAGTTGCTTCGAAGGGCATCTGTGCTTCTTTCTAGTCTTCTTTCTCTCCAGTTGAATGTGTCACCTTCTGTAACATCTTCATCAAAGCATCTTATCGAATAAAAGTACTGTTCTTTGTGGAAGCAACCTCTATCCCTGAATACACTAAATACTTTGCATAACTGTATTTTGCTTTGAATCTTTTTATGTATTTCATAGCATCTACATTTATGTGTTTTAACTTTACTTATCCCTGTAATTGTATAAGAAAAAACACACTTGATCTTGACTCGTAAAATGCTTCTGATTGCCATTGATCTGCACAGTTCTGCTTCTGGATTTTCAAACGCTTTTCATACACCAGATCTTTTCACAATGTAGAACAAATATACATCTATTTCCTTGGTCTCTTACAGGGTGTCACACACAAGGAAGTGTTTGATAAATGTTTGTGAGCACCTGAATTTGAAAGTCCAATGCCAGGGGCTGGCAAGGCCCTTTTCTATCTCTAGACAGGACAGGAGAGGACACTGGCTTGAATGGCAGGAGAAGATTTATGTTAGATATAAGGAACAGCTTAATCTTTATAAGGTCTTGACAGAAGGAGGTTGTGGAGTCTTCGTAAAGAAGGGAAAAACTGATCCTGACAGATAGCTTCAGCTACTCCATTCCAACTGAGGCCAGAGAAGCAAGCATTGGCATTGAGTTTGATGAGTTAGTTCAGTGATTGTACCTCTGGGAGTGGAATTGGAGTTCACGCTTGGACAGTAAAATCATTGTCCCTATCAAATAAATAGCAATCATTTATAGAGTACAAAGCACTTTCTATTCATCTCCTCTGCATCCTAAAAATAGTCTTTTGAGGTAGATATTATTATCTCCATTTTGAAAATAAGGAAACTGAGACATAGAGGCATAAAATAAATTGCCCAAAGTCACAGGTTAGAGGTGGTAGATGTGAGACTGAAACTCTGCTCTCCTCTGAATCCAAAGATGGTGCTCCTTGTTCTAACTTTTAGAGAGAGATCAAGGATCAGTGACCATGAAAGTGGGTACCCTGGATCCAGGGAGAGTCTCCAGCACTACAATCTGCAGGTTCGGAAATCAGAAAAACAATTTAAGGCAACTGTCCCGATTTTACCAATTTACTTGACTTGAGTTATGATTTCCTGCACAGAAATTCATGAAAACGTTTGTTGACTGAGTGTCAAAACCTAAATAAGTAATTTTAAGCTATGAGCTACAGCCCAGTGCAAATCATTACTAAAACTTCTTGAATAGTATCAGGAAACAAGACCTATAATTTGCCAGGTACCAATATGTAGACATCATTTTCTGAGTATTTTACTATGTTTTAAAAGCTAGATTCAGTGAATTATGGCTTATTTTAAGGAGGGTTAAGCAGCATTAATTTGTGGCGTCTGGAAGATTCTTGAATCTGTTGGATAAAGTAATACGGAATTTTTGGTTTTCTTCTCTGTGGAAAAATTTCCACTTACTGCAGGACTTAAGTCAGAATCATAAGCTTGGCTGAATAAATTCTATGTATTATCTTTTATTTATTATATATTATTTTGTGTCGTGTTATATGTGTGCCTACACTGGCCTTCATGTATTTGTTTAGGTGCAAGTTAGATTATATAAGAACACTGTGGAGGCTTAATTGCATAATTAAATGTATGAAATAAAACAAAAGGTTAAATAGGGCCAAGGATGTAGCTCAGTGGTGCTGAGCCTGCATAAGGCCATGAGTTCAATCCATGTTGCGGGGAGGGGGGTGTTAAATAAATGACAAAGAGCCGGGCACGGTGGTTCATCCCTGCAATCCCAGCACTCAGGAGGCTGAGGCAGGAGGATCACTGTTGAGTTCGAGACCAGCCTGGGCTACATAGTGAGTTCCAGGTCAGTCTCAACTACATAGTGAGACAGTGTCTCAAAAAACCAAAATAAATAAATAAATAAATAAATAAATAAATAAAATGAGAAAGACTTTGCTTGGGTGGCTTGACTAATTAAACAAAATAAACCTGCACCCTAATAAGTGATAAACATAATCATTAAATATTTATTTATTTTTTTCATAATCATTAAATAAATACTCAAGAAACGCTTAGGGATAAGAAGAGAATACACTAACAATCATCTCCTTCCTTTTGAAAATATTGACAGTGGCCCTGGAAAGGATTTGGAGCATTAAAAAGAATCTCCCTGTAGGAAGCTTAAAGCCAGGACTACCAAGCAGAAACAGTTTACTGCCACAAGCCAAGTACTATTCAAGGCACGGAGGACTGAGAAGTAAGACCCCCTGAAGCCCTTGACTTCCATGGACGCCCCTGAGGGTACTGTGCAGTTTACAAACCAGTGGTATATGCTGTGTTTAAAGATCACAGGCAAAAGTCAACCCCCACCCCCTTGACTTCTGTCTTTCAAGTCACTTTTTGTTTAACTGCATTATATCACTCTGGAAGTCAAACAACTAACCAAAGTGTTCCCAGAACACAGATACGATAGCAGACTTCAACACTGCTGACTTTTTCCTTTACTTCTTATCTACAAAAGACTTTCTAGCTAACAGCCAGCCTGTGGGGGACATCCTTTCTTTTAAATGGATGATCTTTGTTTACAGTGAAATGAAGAAAAGGAGATGAGGGAATTAAGAACAAGCAAATACCTTCCTTGCTTGGCTCCCTTGTTCCACCTGGACACAATGTATTGCTCAACAGACATCTATTTTGGGACAAAGTATTGCTCATTTCTCATTGTCATAGCCAGTTTCTGCCAGGGTCATTTGTAGCAGGATATATGGAAGGCAGAAGTCTAGACATGGAAGCACATTATCCAAATAATGTGGGGACATATAACTGGGTACATGACCCCCCCCCAAATCTCTACTATCAGTGACAATACTGAGTGAAAAGAAATGGGTAAAAGCTAAGTATGCATACTTTCAATCAAGATATGAATCATAATGGCAAACACTATTACTGCTTATTATAGATTCTTAATATATATGCCAATATTTAATATTCTATTTAATTTTTCCAATCATACGAAACAAGTATAATTTATTTTATAGTTAAGGAAAACAAAGTACAGAGAGGCTGAATAATTTAGCCAGCACCACTCCACTAGTGAGTAAAAGCATGGGGATTTGAACCCAGACAGACTGTCCTTACAGCCTATGGTTTCAACCATGAGGTACTGCTATACCCCTGAGCTAAATAGTGCCTGGGATCTGGGATGTCTGTTGGACCTTAATGAAATGAGAGCACTGCAAAAGTGCCTGTAAGGATAAGGCCGAGCAAGGACCTATAGGATGTGGGCTCAGTGAAAGGAAAATATAGCCACTGAAAAACAAAGTGGAAAACAAACCCAAAATTTATTATTAAGGGGACTTTGTGTAGCAAACAGGAACCCATTATGGAGACCTGGATTTAATAATAATAAAGTAGTAGCTCCCATTTACCATGTGGCAAGAATGGCAGTAAATGTTTTATAGAGTTATGTAACCCATATGATCACATGAGATGAGGATTATAATCTCAATTTTCCAAGTAAGAGAACTGAAGTGTAGAGATACTACATTATCCATGATCCCATGTCTAGGAGGTAATAGAGCCAAAACCATAAACCTTTGTCCATCTGGCTTCCAAAACTATGTCCTTAACCCCTGGGTGGGCAGCCAGAGAATCTAGTCACTGGGCAATAAGAATGGAGCCATTTGTTTTGTGTTTTGTTTTTTTAACTCTTCACATATTTATTAAGACTCAAGGAACTACAAAAAGGTTTGCATATTTCTTACTCTACATAGCTTCAAAGTGAATTCTTTCAATGACACTTTCATGCACCTTAAATTCAAGGAGCATCCTTAGAGTTCTTTCAAGCCACAAATGAAGGCCTACATTGCATATATTCATAAGATTTCTTAGGACTGAATTGCAATTGCTAAGGATCAAGGACTTCCCAAAACATTTTCTGAATTCCTTACAAAGCATTTCTCTCCAGAGTTTTCATGTTCATTAATGTCAGAAGGACTTACATTAGCATCGGGCGGGACTATTTCAGGCAGAATGAAGCCGTGTGGAAGGTGATTCGATAGGCACAAATGCCGGGGCTCTGGGGCGGTAGCGGGAGGGATCAGGGCTGGGAACCTAGGAGGCAACTGTACTCATAATCCACAAAGACCTCATTGTCCTGGATTGATTCAACCCAAATCTGGGCTACTTTCCTACTCAGGGGCTGTTTATCTCGACTTTCGTCTCATTTTGTGAGGTCCCTTTTTTAATGGGTACAACATCATTCCAAGAAAACTCACAAAACGGTTTATCTAATGATGGATAGTTTCCTAAATTCAAATTATAAGACTGATTAAAGAATAAATTACCTTTATTTGAAGGCATAAAAGTCCAGTAAATTATCCAGTTCCTTAGTTGGGATCATATAATAAAAAATAAGTTTGATTTTGATCATAATTTTTTTATAATTTTTTTTATAATTTTCACCCATACAATTTAGGAGAGACTTGCTCCTGGCTCCTACTTATTACTAACCTATCCTGACAACATTTCTAGCAGCCCCAGTTCTCTATTCATACACCACACAAAGTCCATATGGTGATCATCTCGCAATATAGACGTGTTACTGACATAGCTTCATTTCTGTAAGTTACCAGGTACAGTTTTTCCATATGATATCAACTGCAACTCTCTGCTGTACAATCACAGCTGGTCAATTTATATGAATCAGACTGTTGACTAAGAAATACAACATTTCTCACTATCAATGAAGAAAGAAAGATGGTATGTACAAAATATACTAAATGAGCAAAATACATAGATAATTTTTAAAAAATTTTCCATAAGAATGCATACACTATCAAAAGCTCCATGAAGACAGGGACCACGCATCTTCCTCATCATTGTTTTCCTGGCACTTAGCATGGTGCCTGGCACAGTAGGTGCTCAGTTCCATTCATGACGAGAAGAACCAGTGAATGAATGGAACAGAAAGTATTTAGTGAATGCCTGCTTTATAGTCAGGATCCTTTTGCCGATAACCCACACATATTTTCCCCTCTCCAAAAGTAGTTTTCTCTACCTATTAAACAGAATACAAACAATGGGGAAGAACAAGCGAACTATTCTTGTATTTAGTGTATAAACTATGAAAAGTTGCATATAATTTTATATACAAGTTGGAACTAACACTTTATGAGAGATTTTCTGTGAATTGCAATATTTCCAGAAACTTCTTCCATACTCTCAGCTAGATAATTTCATCGAAACACTTGCTTATATATTCTTTTTTTTTTAACTCTAGGATAAGATGAATAGAATGTGTCACTGAGAAGAAACCTCTTTCTCCTAGTGTCTGAAGAACACTGAAGAAACCCAAACTTGTTTCTCAATTTCAGATGTGTGGGAGGAAAAAGTACATTAGTCTGTAAAATCTACTTATAAACTAACCCAAAGTAATGAAAGACTATTGCTAAAGTTTTCTGAGTACCCAAAAATAATGAAGGAGAATACTGCACTTATCTTTAGTTGTCCCAGTTGGAATAAATTGGGCTTCTAATTCAGCCTATTTTATTAAATATGTGAAACACTGATGAAGCAGAGACACATGAGCCTTTTCTTCAAGATGGATATTATAAATCTTAACCCTTTATCACAGAATAGTGCGCTAATCCATTTAAAAACAGAATAAATGCAGATATAGATAATAGTAAATGACATAAATGAAAAATCTAACAGAGGTAATTATTTTTATATAAACTCACCATTTCAGTAGACTTTGTTTACTAAATAGAATGCCAGAGAATTCATGAAGACATGTTTATTGCAATTTAATACTATTTTTAGATTTAAAAGAATAAAATAACCTCCTTACTTTTCAAAGTGATATATATGTAATATAGAAAGATGGGAAATATGAATGCAAAAAACCCCTCATTTGTAATTTAATTTCCAGAAACAACAATGATAGCGTGTAGATATATATTTATTCTATGCATGTTTTACTTGTTTAAAATCATATTGCATAACATATATATTTATTGTCCCTTTTAATATAACATGTAATTCCCCATTTATTAATTACAAAAAGATTCTTCATATATTTGTACCAAATTTTCCTTTATAATATTTTCTGGATATTTGAATTTTTCCAATTTTTCATTTAATATATTCTTTGTGATTCACTCATACCCCTCCCCACTACACACATACTTAAGACGTTCTTATATTTAACCAGGCACAGTCATGCACACCTGTAATCACGGCTGCTCTGGAGGTTGAGGCAGGAGGAATGCAAGTTTGAGTTCTACCTGGCAATTTAAGACCCTGTTTGAAAAATCAAAAGAAAAGGCCTGGAGTGAAATTCAGTGGCATGAGTGCACACACACACACCTAGAAAAGAAAAATATTTCTTCTAGCATTCTGATCACACACTTTTAATCTCTTTCTTCTGTAGGATAATTCATCCTAAAACCTCTCCATTCTCAAGTTCATTACAGGTTTTCATGTATTAAGTCAAGTACAGTCAACAAAGACTTGTTGACTAGATATGTCCTGTCTCTACTTAAAAATATTTACACTGTGAAACAGTCAATAATCTCTTGAGTCAAGCTTCAAACTTTTCAAAGCTTAATATAAAAATATCCATTTGGTTAATGAACACTGAAGGAGTGCCTACACATAGGACACACATCTACCCACCACCATGTTTATGGAACTCTTTTATCACTGACTACTTCAAAATCAGTGTTGCAGACTAATGGCTAAAATTGAGGGATTCCGTCTACAATTAATCAGGAAATAAAACATCAAAACTACCTTGAGTCAGGGGAAAATATTTACTACTCTTACGAATCTAAAATCTTTAGCTTCTAAAAATTCTCACATTGGTCTTTTCATGTGTGTATTACGATGTTACACAAAAGTGCAACGGGTGGAGAGCATTGACTTTCATCCATCCATTTGAAATGATGTACTGTTTCTATTTGGGTTTCCAGTGTGACTTTGTAAACATGCTCAGGGATTTCTTTTCTCACTTCCACTTTATTTTTGCCAACGAACAAGCTCCCACCCTCTTCCCTGTTTATTTTGAACCTTGCTGCCTGGGCTGGATGCTCTGAATCATCCCTTTCTGACCAGCCTGTAAGACTAACACAGACAGAGCTCATGGCACTGTGGCTCTGCTAGTGTTTCTGTCCTTACTCCACTCTGGGTCTCTGGCTCATTTTGCAGTCCATTACTGTTTTTCATTGCCTTGTTGCATATTTGCTCAAGTGGATATATGTACAGGGTTTGCAGTCCCAGCATTACTTATAAAAGTGAGTTAAAAGCCCACCTAAATGCCCAATGTAGGGAATGACTTAAAAAATTATAGTATGATGAAAGTGTCTTGCTTTGCATTTTAATTCAATCAACTTTTAGATTTCAGAAACCAGAATTACAAGGATATTTCTTTAAAATGATAAAAATATAGCAATCCCAAAACAGCAACCATTTTCATATACAACGATGAAATATATTAAAAGCCTTCTGAGACCAAAAATACAACAAAAATGCTGTTTTTTCTAAAGGTGTTTATAACTTGTTCACTTTCAGTCTTTGTGGTGTATACCTCCTGACTCTGGAGCCTAAGAGTTTCCTCAGTTCCTGCCAGAGATAATTACTGCAGGTATTGGAGAGATTGGTGTCATAAGGGTGCATGCCTCATTGCTTAACTTGGCCAAATAGTCATGGCAAAAGCATCTGTGAGCCTCACAGATTGATGATTGAAAGTAGGAAAAAAATGGGAAAACTATTTCCTTACACTTCCACCAGGTGGGACAATTTTTCTAAAACAACTTTTAGTCTTATTTTTAAGACTGATTTATCTTATTATCACATCCTTTGTCTCACAACTAAAATATTCATAGAGATGGAAATTATGTGAGAAAGTTTTTGGTTTTGTTTTAATAAAAATACATATTTACCATATTTTATAGGGCTGGAGATTTAGCTCAGTGGTTCCGTCACCTGCCTTGCAAGCGCAAGGACCCAAGTTTGATTCCTGCTACCAAAAAAAAACAAAACACAAAAACATATTTTATAGCTCACATTTTTCACTCAGCCATACGTTATGACCTTTTGCCTATGTAACACATGCTTGTCTAATCAAATTTTAATGTATATTTCCACCTTTTCCCATCATTACAACAAAAAGGAAACCCTTCAGATTTTCCTCTATGTTTATATTCTGGAAGGAATAAAACAGGAAGACCTTAAATGAAAATAGGGTAATCAAGTTCAGAGTCAACATTGAGCATTTTAAGAATGCCAACCTCTTTAGTTCCCAGAATGTACCAGCCAGATGTATACTCCTGTCTATACATACACATGCGCGCACACACACACACACACACACACACACACACACACACACACACTCTGCTGGGGTGGGGGAAGAAGAGAGAAACATGGGGAACATTATACTAAGTGAAATAAATGCTGTCATAGACAAAAGCTGCCTGATTCCACTTATATTACAAATTTAAAATAGCCAACTAAACACATAGAAACAGACAGAGGGATGGCAGTTGCCAGGGGCTCTGAGGCAGCACTAGGAAAGGAGAACTGCTAATCATTAGGTCCAAAATTTCTATTATGCAAGATGTATATGTTCTCGATATCTACTGAGCCATGTTCAATAGCAAATATTGTATTATGCACTTAAAAATCTTTTTCAAGGATAAATCTCATGTTAAGGGTTCTTACTGTAATAAAATGGTAAAGTAAGAGACTAAAATCTGATTAAATTTCTGTGTACATGAATTTTGTTTGCTAATTTTGGTTTTCCATATTGGTAAGTTTTGCAACCGAGAGACTCCTTAATAATACAGCTGCCTTTAGTTTTAATCTGGCTTAATTATAGTTCTTGCTTGGAGCACGTGTGTGGGCTAAAGAGTTTCCTTCTAGTGTATAATTCTACATTTCATCTCCATAAATAAAGCAGAGAAAGTACAAACTAATGGACAGTTCATGTCTACCTTTCTCCTACAACTGAAGCTTGCTTCCTTTTAACTTCAAAATTTTCCTTGACACTCTGAGAAACCTTGCCCAACAAATCGTAAAGGAAGATGAGAAGGTTGCAACGATAGGTGCCTCAAAGACATTTGCTGTAGCAATGACACTTAATCAGTACAGAAGCAACAAAGCATAAAGTGGCAATCCAGGAAATGTCCCGCCAGAAGGCAGATGGGCCAGGTTACTGAAGGGTAAACATGTTCACGGCTTTTAACTTGATGTCAACCTTTGAACTCAGGCCTGCAATTGTTCTGCAGCTATTTCTTAATGCATATGAAGAATATAATAGCTGGCAAGTCCTGCATGGTAGAGATCTTCATCTGTTTGCTTAGTTATACTCCATGTGCCTAGCATTTAACTGGCAAAATTTGTAGCTTTTGCAGGTTGTGAAACCAAATAACAGCTGAATCTAGCATAGCTCTGCAAATGTTAATATAGAACAAGTCTCAGTGCTGCTTGGCTAGGAAGCACTTTAGAAATAGCTCTGCAGCCTGATAATGACAAAGGAGTCAAGCTGTAAGATGTAAAAGTAAAGAAAATCTGAAGAATTTTACCTTGTAAAGGAACAGCAAATTCTGGGATCATCATATGAAAATCTGAGCTGCTAACAGTTCCCATTAGTATTTCTCAAACCATGAATTGGGAAGTGAGACCCAGGAGAACTTTCCCTATAGGTGAAGAACGGCTGTTTAGTGGTCAAAACAAGCAATGGTGGGTTTCCAAATGGGCGGTCACACTGCACCCACGTCTTTCACAGGAGAGCTACTGCTATTTCCCTGCTGCCTTGGATGACCTAAGAAATTCAATCTGAACAGTGAGCTCACTCAAGAAAGAAGCTTTCTTTTTGTGACGCTCAATGGTGCTGCCCGGACAGAAGTAATTCTTGCATTGCAGTTAGGCAGCGAGGGCAATGTTTCTCTTCACCCTCTCTCCCTCCTCTTCTCTGCCTTCCCTTCTCCCCTTCCTTCCTCTCCTTCTCCTCTCTCTCCTTCCTCTCTCTGTTTTCCTCTCCCTCTTACAAAAATAGTGTGTTAAATTTCACTAAGCAACAAAGATTACATATACAGCAAAGGTTCTTTTTGGAGTGGATGAAAATAACTGTATATCCAGCATTATTAATTTGATTTCACCCTTGTATGTTGTTCAAGACTTCTGGGCTGTGGTCTATTTGGCCACAGAAAACTGAACCTAGGGCTGGGGATTTAACTCAGTGGTTCTTGTGCCTACCTCGCAAGCTCAAGGACCAGAGTTTTGATCCCTGGTACTGAAAAAAGCAAAAAACAAAACAAAAAAATGAACCTGGAACTACAAAATTTAGCCATCTCGCTTGTCATACAACTAGCATGCATTTACTCTTACATTTTCATACTTATCAGCAATCATTTATATGTTCCTACTTTTGTTCACCTTGATCCAACATCACAGGAAGAAGTGTGATGAAATCCAGTTAGACACACTGTTTTGTTCTGATTGGATTCTTCAGAGGAATTTACCAGTCAAGGCAGATCAGACAGAGGGACAGAAAGGATCACCAAGAGCCAGTCTTCCAGATACAGAGAACTGGGCTGCCTCTCTGCCTGGTGAGTTTGAGTTCAGTATAGCCAAGCTCCAGTGTGGGGCAGTTACCACCATAAGCTCAGTCTAGATTGTTTAGCTCCTGAGATGATGTG